GGGGGGGGGGGATTTTAATGTCACACCAACAAAAATGACACCGGTTCGTGATACCAGTGATTTTGGGGCACCTACGGTGCTCCGTTTGTAAAATTGATAGTTCCTACCCCCGTGCATCGCCGATTTGGCAAATTGGCGATCAAGGGGGGTTGGGGTGGGGTCGGTGAAATTGATAGGGTGGGGGGTTACGGGGGGTAGAAACCATCAATTTTACAAATGGAGCACCGTAGGTGCCTCAAAACCACGGGTGTCATGATGTTACACCACTTGAAGTGGTGTAACATTAGAGGCTCGGGAAAAAGACTAAAGTAATAGTAAAACATTGAAAATATACCAAAATAGGAGTTTCATGTTTTTATTCTCGAAATAGGAGTTAAAATGCATTTACATTACCAATCATGACCATGTACATTACCAAAAAGGATAGTAAAATGCTCATGTACAGTGCTACATTACTACAGTGCGAACTCCTCCTCAGGGAATAAAATAATGGAACTCCTATTTTGGTACTTTCTCTATGTTTTGCTCATATTTAGGGTGATTTTTTTAGACACACACTCTCTCTCTCTCTATATATATATATATCTATATATATATATATATATATATATATATATAGACACACACACACATGGTTTTATAAATGACATTTATAAAATTAAGAGAAAAAAGTAATAGTGGTTCTATTGTTTCTAATCGGCCAATCATACAAAAAAAGTGCACACATTTCAGGTGATATAGAGTGAAAAATAGGTCACATAATCTTATTCCCACTTGTAATAAAACAATCCACAAATCAAACACCCCCTTAAATGTTGGGGAAATTAATGATAACTTGGATGAATCGAGAGTTGTGTAAACACTTTCAGATTGAATATTTTGGTTGTTCACTCCAAAATTCAATCGGATAAAACTCGAAAGTATCAAGAACGAAATATGAGAATTGCTGTGTCTAAAAACCGAACGAAATTCGACCATGCCTAGGGGGATTTTATAGACTAGGGGTGAGAAGGAGAAGACACCATTCGCGGCTATTACCCAAAGCACGCAACTCTTCGTGCGGAAGTTTCTTCTTCAAAATTCGGTCTTATCCATCGAATTTTCTTTTAAAGAAAATTCGAAATTAAAATTCTAATTGAATTTTTTAACATAGCACCGAGCCCAAAGGGGGCGCTGCCCCCGAAATTAAAATTCTAAATTCGCCCCTTGAACCCTGCTCGGGGGCGCTGCCCCCTTGGAACCCCCGGTGTAACGGGTTTTATATCGTAACAAACTCAATGAAGCGTGCACTCCGCACCACCAAACTTCTTTGATGATTATTAGGATACCATTGGTCGTAGTTTTTCCAATTACACTAAAATATATAACATTAAATGCATGCATTATGTAAGTATATGTATACTGGTATATGGCACACCTTGTACTTTCTGTCCAGTGGGAAAAATGGAAGCCCTAAGATATGAAAGTGCACGAAGGAAAAAAACATAAATTTACTCATTAATGCAGATTGCCCACTATTTACTAAAAGATGCAAAACGTTCAAAAAACTTCTGGCTAACCAAAGCCTATCACAACTACTTCAAGTCATTTCTAATACATTCGAAAAACACATGACATATCATGAAGGGAAAGAAAAATTGGGAAACTGTAAGAGAACAGAGTTGGCTGAATATAACAAACAGTATACAAATTGGAGTACATGAAAACTATAGAGCAAAAAAAATGCAAGTAGATAAGAAGCCTCAACCTTACCTTATCACAAAGCTTTTGAAGCTCAACCATTGCAACTGGTGACAGTATATCAGGCCGAATGCTTAATGCTTGCCCTAGCTTAATGTATGCTGGACCCAGGGATGTTACAATCTCCCTCAGCTCAATAGCCCGAGCAACCTCATTCTAATTGTAGGTTTAAGATCCTACTGTTAGTTGTTAAAGGGTGTGTAAAGAGAGAGTAAATACAGAGTAATATTTTACTGCAAATAAAAAAAATAACTTGTGCTTCCATAATTGATAATAATAGTATCTACAAGTGTAAATCAAGAAGTGCAGATAGTCTATTTAAGCTAATTCTGAAGGAAAATGAGCATTGAAGTGAACAGAAAAACTAATGGTAAAGGAACGGGAAATAGTCAATTTATTCATAGGTATCTGGACAATGTACTGCAGTGACTAATGCAGTTAGTTTCGCTTGACTTTAAGCAGTAGCCAGTTAATGTGCCACCGTTCTTAGTTAGGATGTTAATTTCTAATCTTTTTGTACACCTAATTTTTATGAGGATAATATCATTAGCAAATACAAACCCAGAAAGACGTATCAACAAGTTACAGATAACATAATGGGGTATGCACTATGTAAACATGGAATAAAACTGCCACACAAAGTTAGTCTTAGAAAAGTCTCAAAGTTGGCTTTAGCTCTTAACTATAGCACAAGTTCATGACTTGCCTTCAGTGTGAAACTCAAGCAAATTGTGTACAATATTAGTAAAAGAAAAACAACAATGATGGCATAATGCCATGTCAGCACTATTTTCCTCAGATGGATACTGAACTCAAAATGTACACACTACGGAATAGCAGGAGACTGAAGGCTCACCTCCTTGAACTTCTTGTTTATTACATCAACGGCTATACGTGAAAGAAACCCACCAGCAACAGACAATAGTTGCACAATGCGTGTTGCAATGGCTTGTGGCCTTTTCCTCCAATATGCAGCAATGCTAGTAGGTTCATAAACCAAAGGCAGGAATTCACTGCTCTCGTCAACCTTAAGGAATAGAAAATCACTCATAATGTACGAAGAAAAGTGTTAGCCAGATGAAGTCCTGTCCCTTCCCGTTAAAAAAAATTATGCAAATGATACAGGTACACCATCACTGGAAAGAACATATGGTATTGTTGCATAAATGTCAACATAAGATGTCTTGGAGGTAATTAGAAACGAAGCCCACAATCACATAACATTTGTTGATAATCAACCTTGTTTGGGATCAACATTTTTACTTAGCGTCTTAGATAAATTTTAATGGTGTAGATTAACTTTGAAAATGCTAAAGTTAAACACTGCCGTTATATATAGCCTTCTCAAAATGCTAAAAGTTGTTGCCAAACGGCACTAAAGTCGCCTGAAGAGGACTCGGCGAGGCGACGTTCAAGAGGCGAAGCCTGGTGTGTGCCATTCTCTCCTGTACACCGGGCGTGAGGCGGTCGCCTCTTCCACTTTAGAGGTGGGTTGATTTTTTCTTTAAATGGGGCTTGGGCTTGGTTGTTGCGAATCCGGAAAAAGTCATCTTTGACTCCAATGCGAGGAACCCCTTCATCTTCAGCTTCATTTCTTCCTTACAAGTTGTCTGCTTAGTATCTTCCTAACAACTCCGACAGTTTTCCGGGGTACTAAGCAACTTCCTTACTTTGTTTCAATCAATATTTTTGTGCAAGTGCATATGTTTATTTGTGTTGATTTAGTAATTCAACTCATACTGAATAATTGTATACATGGGTGTTTATATAGGTGAGGATCCTTACATGAATTAGGATTCACCAAATATGTAAACTAACATAAATAACAATTCTACCATAACTAGACTTCTTGCCATATATGTCTAACATCCCCCCTCAAGCTGAACGTCGTGAAACGAGAGGAAGCTTGGCAACTAGTGCTGAGTAGGTGAGGAGAGAGCCTTTGTGAGAAGATCTGCCAGCTGCTAGCTGCTCACTGGAAGGAACATAAGAGACTGTCATTTTCATGCGCTTATGGAATACTGGGTTCTTAGTGGTGGACTGGTTGTCGCAGAGGAGGGAGCTTAATCTATAAAATGTCAAACAAATAGGTGATCCACATCACCTCAGCTGCCGCGGCCGAGAGGGCTCTGTACTCGGCCTTGGTGGACGAGCATGAGACACGACTTTGTTTTTCCGTACTCCAAGAGATTAGATTAGACCCAAGATGTAACCTGTAACCTGTGAATCATTGGCTCAGTCAGAGTCAGAGTATGCATGGATGGTTTGTGAGCCACGCCGGAATATCAAACCATGGTCAATGGTTCCTTTGACATAGCGTAAGATGCGTTTCAAAGACTGAAAATCCTGCTCAGTAGGTGCATGCATCCTTTGACAAACATAGTTGACAGCAAACTGAATGTCTGGGCGCGTATTTGTCAGATATTGGAGAGAGCCAACTAAGCTGCGGAAGAAAGTGGGGTTCTCGAACGGGCGGCTTACCCCCTCCTCAGGCTGCTGTACGGGTAGGGGTGTGGGTGCCAGTTTGCAGTCTTCCACTCCTGTTTTATGGAGGAGTTCACGGGCATATTTTTCTTGGGATAGAAGCAGATGTCCCTGTTTGCGTGTCACCTCAAGCCCAAGAAAGTAATGAAGAGGACCAAGATTCTTCATTTAAAATTCCTTTTGCATAGCTTGGATGAATAAAGAAATAAGAGAAGAGGCACTCCCAGTTAGGGCTGTTCATCGGTCTAAGACCGGACCGAAGACTGAAATGAGTAAATTCAAGGACCGAAGACCGGACCTAAATCTACTCGGGTTTGGACCGGACCGGACCGAAATATTTAGGACCGAACCGGTCCGGACCGATTGGACCGAAAAAAATACATATTTTTTTAATTATTTTGATCAATTAAATATATTTTAGACTTTTTATTTTGTACCATTCAAATAGAAAATGAATAAAAAAATATACGTTGGAATTTTACTTATGTGTTATACTTGATAAAGTTACATCTTTGTATTTTTGTTTATACTTTACAAAAAAAATCTAAAAAATTTTTTCATGAATTATTTTTTGGAAAAATTAATTTATTTAATTTTATAGATAATTTTATCTCGTAATTTCACATTATCGGAACTTAAAAAGTAGAGTTTTAGTATTTAGGTTTTTTAGGTCCAGTAGGGTCATTAGGTCCAACCGGTCCAATCGGTCCGGACCTAAATCATTTCGGGTTTGGACCGGACCGGACCGAAACCCGAATGTCTAAATTTTCTGGACCGAAGACCGACCCGAAATCCATTCGGTCCGGGTTTGGTCTGGACCTAACGGTCCGGTTCGGTCGGTTTTTTCGGTCTGGACCTAAATGTGAACAGCCCTACTCCCAGTGACAATAATATCATCAACGTAGAGAAGAACAATGAGGCCGCCGGAGGGAGAATGCTTGACAAAGAAGCTTGTTTCATGTTCATTTTTTCCAAAGCCATATTCAACAAGGAACCCAGAGAGACGTTGGTACCAAGCCCGTGGCGCTTGCTTCAGCCCATAAAGAGATTTCTTCAGTTTGCACACATAATTAGGATAATGCTGGTCGATATACCCCGGAGGCTGCTTCATTTAAATTTCATCAGGAATGACACCGTGAAGAAATGCATTGGAGACATCCAATTGGTGAAGGGGCCAGTTCTGATTGACGGCTAAAGAGAGAACCACCTGAATAGTCTGCCGTTTGACCACAGGGCTAAAAGCCTCAGAGTAGTCCAAACCATATTCATGTGTATAGCCTTTGGCCACAAGACGGGCCTTGTACCTGGAAACGGAACCATCAGCATTATGCTTAATTTTATAAATCCACTTACATCCAATAGGAACCCGATCAAGCAGGGCTTTATGCTCGTCATCCATAGCTTGACACCAATAACTGTTTTGGGAGGCTTCTTTATAGGTAACAGGCTCGGTGGTGGGTGGGGAAGAGGTGAAGGAGGTGGAGTAGAGTTTAGGTTTGAAGATGCCACTTCGTGCACGAGTGGTCATTGGGTGCCGGAGGGGTGGGGG